TCTAGAAAAGGAATTTGCTGCACTAGTCTTAATAGGGAGCAATTTCATCAATAAAAGAGTAAACCAAAATGGGGTGCAGCTGAAGGAATTTAATTTTGTGTCTATGCCCTTGTCAAACTTTTTCCAGTAGATGGATAACTTTTCTCTCATAACTGTAGACTCTAATGAGGGTCTCTTACATCTTATCTACCTTTGTGGCTGCCTTTCTTATTTCTCAGCATAAACTGTGTTTCTCCTGTCACCACTTGTTTCCAGGCTTTGCATCACACTGATGTGTCTAAGACATGCAGCACACCCCTCTTCCTTTCCTCTTCTTTATTTTTTAGACTTTGTTTTGGTGACTTGCCTCTTAATTTCTCTGTTCGCAATTTACAATTTGGGACAACTTCTCTCATCCTTACACATATTTTCTCCTCACAAAATGTTTAGATCAGGAAAAAGCCCATCAGATTCTTTTGTGTTTGCTGTCATGTAAGTCTGTTATAGCTGGGAGAAGGCAAATGCTATGAATTAATCTTGGGTAATCTTTGAGAAAAATAATTACAAAAATAATAATTCATAGCCTAGCAAGCAACATAATCTTCTGATTTTCTTCCACTGTTTCACCTTAGACTTGTAAGTTGAATGCAACATACTCAAAAATCTATCCAGACTGCAAGGTGCTGGAAAAAGAGGGAAAAGTTATTGCAAAAAATAATTTTTATGGGCATCCTGTTCTGGGGCTGCATTTCACACTTCTCTCCTGTAGGCAGTTAAAAAAAGGCACAGAAAAATGGTAGCATGAAGGTGTTGCTCTGTTCTTTGCTCCGAACTTTGCTGCCCTTTTTTTAGAGGCATTAAAGACAGATATTTGAACTGCTGTTTCTCTGATCTGCAGATACCAACATGCCCTTAACTTCTCCTACGCTTACCCCACCATGTACCCCTTGCAGCCCACCTTGCCCTGACCACAGGGAATGCATCCATGGTGGAGGGGCTGGTGCAGGCAGCCAGGTGAAGGCAGGAGAAGGAGTTGAGTGTGCAGGTAGGAGTGTGTTGACAGCAAGGCAAAGGGAGGCAGTAAAACGAAACGCAGGAATTGGACAGGGAAGTCACGTGGAGTTCTCTTATCCTCTGTTTGCCAAGCGCTACAAGCTTACATGCTGGCTGTCATAAAACATGAAATAAAGCGGAGCCTCTCAGTTTGCTCCTACAGGCTGTTGCTGAAAGAGCAATTCACCTGTTTCAATATGGATCTGATGCACCTTCTCAGGCAGCGACAAGTCGGATCTATGGTTTCATTGCATGAGATGCAATGTGAAATGCAGGGCACGTCAGTCTGCAGACGTGGGGGCACGAGCACTCTAACAGCTACATCGGGAAGTAGCTTTCATGCTCACCCCTCTGTGGTGCTGTTGGAGGGCTGCATAATTATGGCCACCAACTACTGCCCCATCTGGTCCTCCCATGTTAGGAGAAGCCCAAACACCCAATGCCTCATGGCTCACACCTTCTGGAGGAGAGGACACACAGTGCTGCACTTGGAAAGTGAGGAAGCAGGCAAGTTAAGGCCAAAAGCAGCTTTTTTAAAGACAGCCCCTTCCTCCTCCATGGCCCAGCTCTCTGGGACATTTTCAAAACACCCTCACATCCCTGGTCAGACTGGTAAAGAGCACAGGGGACATGGAGACAGGTGGCTGCCAGAGGCCTCATGGGTGCTGCAGCAGCCCATGCCCCTCCTCAGTGAGCAACCAGTACCCAGTGCAGGCTCTGAAAGGTTGTCCTTGCAGAGTCCGGAGCTTTGATCTGAGTAAAAAGATGTTCCCAGAACTACTGGAATTATGTGAAAAAAGAAAATTTCACTGGGGCATCATAATGATGAATTTGGCAAGCGCTGCATGGAACAGCATCTCTGCAGCTTGGAGAAATAGCCTGTCACCAACAAGCGCAAGAATGGGGCAAGTGCAAGTGCAGCTGGGGTGAGGCAGTGGAGGTGCAATATTTCTCTTCAACACTGCATCAAGCCAAGCTCTCACACACAGGCTTTGCTCTACCTAGTGCTGTGTTTAGATAAAAGCTGCTCCAAAGTTGCTGGGGAGGAGAGGAGATGCCAAGGAGCCATTCACTCTGCACCAGTTCTTGCAGATCAGCTTGGGTAATGACCACTCTTTGATTTCTGCCTTACTTGACTGAGCCCTACTTAGCTCCCATGGCCTCTCCTCTCTGCCACATACACCCTTTGCCTTGAGCTGTAGCCAGAAGCAACCTAAGCCCAATGTCCAAATTCAAGTGGCAAATGCTCTTTTGCACAGGTTGTGTAAGTGAGTGAGTTGTTTTCCCAGTGGAGTTCATAATAGTTGGAGTAACGACATAAGCTCTCCTGGCAAACTGCCATGAACAAGATTTCTGTGTCTCTCCAAGGCCATCTCCTGGCACAGCTCTGTCAGCTAACATGCAACTTCTTTAACCCTCAGGCTGACATAATTCTGTGGGCAAAACTCCTTAAATGTGTATTTGAGGTGTCCCTGTGCCACCCTTCTCGGCCTGTGTCTGTCACAAGCTCTTGCCTGCTAGTCACCTGGCAAAAAGAGTTGGAAAAGCCAAACTTGTGCAGGAAATAACTTGCAAATGAAGCCTGAGCATGAGCTGATAGAGAGCCAGGATCACAAGAAATAAGTTATTCTGTGGCTAAGTCAGTGGCTGCTAAACCGTATGGATCAGAGGAGGCAGAAAAGCAGCTGCAGCAGTGAGAGGAACAACACAAAGGGTGTCTGGGGATGTGTGTTTGTTTAAGATTAGTCCACGGATTATGGGGTTTTGTGTCTAAACCCAGCAATTATTGACTGGCTTGCCACAGAGCAAAAAGCTTAAAAGTGTAACAAATTCAGGATTTTAAAATAGGGCATAACTTAGTTTGCAGATTTACTAAGTGTTGTATCATATCAGAGCAAGTTTTAACTCACTGCTAATTCAAAGAACACCCTCTCTTTATCTTCACCAAGGGTTTTCACAGGATAAATTATTTTCACCAATCTGCTAAATATCCTGTGCACAGGAGGGCATTTTGATATTTGTTCTGTCTCCTAGCCATTGACCTTTAAATGTGACACCTACGTTTCTGATCTTCCCATATCGCTACAATTCTATCTGTTCTGATTTCCCTCTCCTTCAAAATAGTGCAAAACTGTTCCACAGATGTGGAACAATTAAGTTAGATATTGCATAAAAAAGCACTTTAATTTGTTTATTTAAAACCTGCTGCCCAGTAATCACATTAGATGTTCACAATCCTTGTATTGTGAGGAAAATCAATTGTTTTTCCCTATTAATTTTCACTGGAGCACCAGTTCTTGTCTGTGCAGAGTCCCATGTCGAATCTCTTTTCTGCATGCTGAAGAATCTAAAACTATGTTTTTCTGCTCTCAAAAGAAGCTGTTCCATATGTCTTATCTCAGTATTTTTAAAATGTATCATATTTTTAATCTGGGATGACTGACACTGGAAGCAATATTGAAGATACATTTATATGCTTTTATATGGTGGTACAATCATGCTTCCCATTTCACTCTCTGTTCCTGAGAAGCAGAAAAGGGTTTGCATGCCTGAACGCTCATCTACTCCTTCTACCTACAATCTGGTATACAAACATTTTGTACTCTACTGCAACAATCATACTACTGACCACATGCCTAATAGTTTAATTGTTTTTCTGAATGTCTCTGAGCACTGAGTGACATTTCCAGGCAACTAGTCACATTAATATCAAGAGATCTTCTCTGGCTCATAGTGGGTAATTCAGAGGATGTGGATGGGTATGTGTGGTCAAGATAATTTTCTCTTTGAGCATGACTATGCTTTTATTTGCACTCAATTTCACCTGCAAGGTTATTGTCCTCTTATTTAGTATTCTGGTGACAATTTTTGCTTTAGATTAGACTATCTTGACTTATTTTGTGTTATCTTCAGGCTGTGTAACACACATGCGACTTCCATCAGGACATTGAACCAAGTGTGTCACACTCACACAAAATGACCTGTGTAGGTACATGTAGAATGCATTGCATGTTCCCAGTATAGAACCTCATGCACCCTGCCAGCAACCTGGTTTTTGATAACTAAGCTTTGTCTTCTTCCTATTAATCATGTAATCGCCTGAGAAGAAACTTCCCTTCTACCCTCAGTAGCCCAATTTATTTTAGAACTGTTGGTAGGAACTTTTGTGCTAAATCAACCTCTCACACAATGTGTGTTGCCAGTACTTACACATTTGAAATCTCAGTTCTGAAAACATCCCCTTGTAATCTTGTAATCTCCTCCTATGAAACAGAAGGGTTTAATGTGAGGGGCTACCCTGTACAGTCAGAGGAGCAGCTACCCCTTCCATGCTGGATCCATGAAATGAGGCCAATTTATGCAGCTGCCACCACATCAGAGCCTTCCTTATGCATTGCTGGTTGCAAGGCATTTGCAGGGTGGGTAGTGGCAGAATGGCTAAAATGATGGGAAGGTTCAGCACAGTCAGACTAATGATAGGTAGTGAAAATTCAGACAGCTGAAGACAATTATTGAATTTTAGATAGATTTTGAGAAATTAAATGAGTTTAATGGCTGTTCTACCATCCGGAAATCCATAATACATTACTGGGTGCACTGGAAATAATGTCTGAGAGACTAAAAATAGACTGCATATACCACTCCTTCTGCTTCCCCTGGAGTGCCGAGAACATTCAGTACTTATTAAAGAAGGCATTAAAAATAAGCTGAAATTTGCATATCCCTTTTTATGATTTCATTTTTTAAAAATACCAGAATAGCCATTTATAGCTGTTCTTCTTGTGTGGAGTCAGACAATAACAGAAAATGAAAAAGAGGGGATATACCCTTCACTCAGCTACATGACTGCCTGTTGTGGTGATGTATGGGGATTCCTTTTCCTTATAAAAGCTCATCCTCTGCCTGACCCTTTCTCAGCATCTTTTCTCCTACGACTCTAGGAACTGGCAAGCCTTTGAGGCAATGACTTGGAGAAGAGAAAGAGAAGAAATCCCATTCTCCAGGCAAAAGGCCAAAAGGACAATTACTGGGTGATATTTCTGTAAGTCACAAGGAAGTAAGTCCCAAGGATTTTCTTTTGTATTATGTTACAGGGGGTCTAAGCTGCACCAGCCAGCCCAGAGATGTTGGTCACCACAGAAAACTATTGTGATTAGTGTGAGCCAAAATTTCCTCAGGGGTTTGGGCCCCAAAAAGCTTCCAGGGAAATCACTTGTAAAATCTGATTCAGAAAAACATATAACCAATATCAAGTGCATCTGCATGTTATCTAAAGCCTTGGGTCTTATGTTTGCCTTGTGTGTTGCCACATCCAGTGTGGTGCCGTGCAGAGAAGGCCTAAGAATACATATAAAACTTCCCACAAAGAATTTAACATGGACAAGAAGAGCAGGTCTTTCATGAATTTGTGCTTTCAAGTCCTAGAAAATGTACTTGCATTTTACAGCAATAGCTTGCAATCTGTGTTTCAATGGATTTATATTTGTGGAAGTGAGTAGCATTATTTTTGCTCTGGAAATATTTCGAAGTTGAGTTCCCCAAGGGACCTGAGGCCAAACGAGGGCTAAGGAGGGCACCTTTGGCTTCATGCATGCTGCTTGCTCCATGCACTCTAAGGAGAATTTTGAGTTAGAAGAAGTGCAACCATGCCTCATCAAGGTGCTTTCGCTAGGGTTGTTAATGGAGCTGGCCTGGCTGTACTGTGTGTGCCTCTGCAGGCTAGGTGAAACAACGATAGAAATGGAAAGAAGCAGAAATTTTAGAAAGAAAACTGTGGCAGATTCCTTCCCACTCCGTGGGATTTTTTTGAATCAAAAATGAACTTCCCACACAATAAGGGCCTGCTAACTCTTTCTACATGTTTGCACACATTTACTTGTATGCACAAAATCCTGCATTGCACAAACATTGGAGTATTTCCACAGGTTCATGCCTGTAAGTATTTCTTTAGATATAAAGCCACTGGTCTACTTTCAAGTGTGACACTGGATGTAAGAACAGAAACATAGAATCATCAAGGTTGTAAGAGACCTTTAAGATCAAGTCCAACTGTCAACCTAGCACTATCTAAATGGAATTCACAATATAGGAGAAAGACTGATGAAAACCAAATTGCCAACAAATTGTATTTAGTTTTGGGAACACTGAACTGTGGAGTTTCATATCCTGAGACATTTCTTTTTTTGTATTCAAGAACAGGATAAAATGAAGTTGATGAAAATTCCTCGTTTCCCCACCAAGTGCCCTTACCTGCATGCTCGTGATTCCCACAGCTCTTGCCCAGGAGATCCTATGTTCACCCAGCCTCTTGTGTTGAGGGTATTGTCTTGGTACATAGAAACAGGTATTTGAACCACCTCTGCTAAAGCCAATCTCACTTCCCAGGTAAGATGACTGGACATTACTGTTATGCTTCTTTAAGCATCTTTCATAAGAAGACTAAGCAGCCTTGTACTTACCCGAGCCAGAGAGCCAAAGAAACAAAAAGAGGGATATAATATAACCCTCCTTTGGGAACCAAGCAATGAAGTTTAAGGCTGTGGCTGTGACGTTCTTTACCAGAGCTAGATATTAACACGTGATTCCTTTTATTTTAAAAGGAAAATGTTTTCAAATCTCCCACAGCCCCTGCTTTCAGAGCTTTCAAAAATGAAATTAATAACTAAACTGAAGGAGAAGGAGAAAATACTAAATGTCCTGCACTCAGTAAAACTATGCCAGTTTTAAGTAGATTAGCAGCATTTCCCTTCAGAGCCTCTTTTTATTTTATTCTATATAAAATTCTGATCAACATAAAAATTCCCCTGATCTTGTGAGATCTTTTGGCATTTGCAAAGGCTTTTCAGGCAGCTGTTAAACAATGATATTTTCCTTTGTAATTGGTATTAAAAAGTCTTTCCCTCTATTT